CAGCAAACCAATCTAATCAACAGGGCTGGGAAATTCCGGGAGGATTCATTTTCTCTAATGGTTTGTTAAACTCAGAGTATGAAGATCGAGTTGCCTCATGATAGTTCGAAACTAGCCATTACTACCTTTATTTATATTGAGAATACAAATACTTCAATCTTTCTGGTGACTTTAGTACCATGACTATGTGCACTATTTGAGCGTGGAACGAAATGCTGTTCACAAGTTGTTCTCACAAAGACTAGTAAACATTTTTTGAGTATTGTACTAGTTACTAGTTATGTTGGCTATACATCGCCGAAATTGTCTTGAAGGATCTCAACCGCCATTGAAATCGTATCAATCATCACAATCAAGAAATTGATGGGTCATTTCTCGGTACCCCGCCACCTGAAAATACCTCTATCGGAAAGCTAAGAGAGGTAATCAAAATAATCAGAAATGCTCAAAATGTAGTCGGGCTCTTAGCTATGATGTACAAAACAATAATTTTTGATGACTGTACCCTCGTTCAAAAGTTCAATAGAAGGGGGAGATGAACAATTTTGTATAATCTGCACTGTGTAAGAACTTTCGAGTATTGTACCATTACATCGAAAGGTCAATTTTCCTTAAGTGCAAACATGCTGGTTTGCAGCCAGAAATTTATTGGCTGATCTAAATTGTGAGAGCTATAACTCTGTGGACCAAAATCTGTTTACAGTGCTTTATTCTTCTCGTATATTCTTGAAATTGAGCTAAACAATCAAGAGTGGTGATAATTGTTTTCTTGGTGCACAACGCAAAATCTCCACAACCATCATAACAAGATGACAGTTTGATATAAGCAACTTAATCAATACAAGCATTCACTTACTATACTCCTTAACAAATACACATGCTAAGCCTTTCGATGTAAAAAAACACAGTAAAAGATCGCTAGTAATTTCATAGCAAAATTTTAGTGTTCCACTTCCAAATCTACTGGTATTGATAAAGTATTGTTTCTATTAGTTAAAGGATATGATACAGAAAATTAACGAAATATATTAATGTTGGTTTTGTGTTTGAAGAACATCAAATCATGTAGGAAACCATAGCGACCAAACCGATTAAAAATTTAGATGCTTGAGTTCTTGATGCCCAACCCTCATAGGTAGATACAGAAGGTCCAAAGGATGCTGCAGAAGATGAAACTGCAGTACTAGGGCCATTCGCATCATAGCTTGAGGTTCTAGTAGTGATTGTGTTACCGTGGTGTTCTGAAGATGAGAATTGAGGAACTGTGACCAGTGGAG